CTCCATCTGTTTCACAGTGTACCATGCATTATCTATTCCCATTGTACTTTTGCATGGAGATGCCAGCAATATGTACATAAATATATTTACTATTGCGCATCTTATATATTCCTTCAACGCTGCATTATTAGGGTCGGTAGTGTGCGAACCGCCGGACTGCGTACCCCACCCATTCAGGAAATATAATGCTCCTGTCATGAGTGTGCACATAATTCTGTCTCCCGCGTATGTTACCCTTCGCGGGTTACCATCAGGATTGCTTTCGTGGTTATAATACGCATTCTCACAGTTCACACCCAGCGTCACCATGTCCATATCTTCCATGTATTGCACAAACTGCCCTAACTCCACTTCTATATCTTCCCACAGTTTGTGCTGCAATTAATAGAACACATATACATATATGCATAGTGTACAACGTGCGCGTCCTCCTTTACACTTAATTCACCTGTGAATACATTGCTGTGCACAGTGCACTAGGCGTGCCCGCACTATCATAACAGCGAGCACCGTGCATACTCATTCACATATGGAACGCAGCTGCTCTCCATAAACTGCCTGCCCATTATGCATAAGCTAAGTAAGGTGCACTGCGTTTAATATCGTGCCAATCACTCTTGGTTACCACATAACCCTGGGGGCCCATGTGTGCACCCCGCGCCCGCACGTATTCGGCCAACACCTGGGCTAGGTGCCTTGCTGACATATTAGTATTATTGTATTAGTATTCTCTACTTGGTCCAGTGCCTTGGAAGTACTATTATGCTACATATATCACATGTAAACCCATCTAACATGCTCTTCCGCAGTATGCTAATATTCTACTAAATAATTATTTTTCGTCTACTTCTACAACAATATTTACGTGAACTGCTGGTATCATAGGTACTGGTGCTCACTATAATGCAGCCGTACACTATTTATAGTTGCGCTAAGGGAGAACAACATCGAGAAGAAAGAAAAAAATAAAAGGATTGAATAACAAGAAGAGAAAGAAAAAAAAAAAAAGGGAAAAAAAAAAAAAGTACTACTACACTAGCGTACGCACGCAACCCGTCATGAATATACACCCCTTAAAAACAACATCGCGTTGTGCACTAAACGCCTGTCACACACACTGTCTCTCTGTGCGCGTACACAACAAAACCGCAGTATAACAACATCAATACTGCTGCCGTCCTTGCCGTCCTTGCCGTCGCTGCCGTCACACCGTCTCCATTAACGCCTCTCCGTCAACGATTCTGCGTCAACGCCTCTTCCGTCAACGCTCTCTCCGTCAACACTTCTCCGTCACCCCGTCTCCGTCACCCCGTCTCCGTCACCGCGTTCTCCGTCAACCAAGTCGCCGTCAACCCCGTCTCTGCGTCAACGCCGCTCCCGTCAACGCCTCTTGCGTCAACGCCTCTCCCGTCAACGCTTCTCCGTCAACGGTTCTCCGAGTCACCCCGTCTCCGGGTCACACCTTGTCCGTCAACGCCGTCTCTCCGTCAACGCTTCTCCCGTCACGCGGCCACTTCGTCGTATCCGTCTTGCACTCGGACCGGCCGCGTTGGGCGACGCGTGTGCTCGGAGAGACAATCTCTCCCTCCTTTCTTACACTCGGACAATACTTACCCGGCCACGTGTGCTCGGAGAGACAATCTCTCCCTCCGTTCTTACACTCGGACAAGCCGTCGTCGAATGGGTCTTACACGCGGCCGCTGTGGTCGACGCGTTTGATCGGAGAGACAATCTCGGCCTCCTTCTTGCACTCGGCTACAATGCGGCTTACGCGGCCGCGTTTGCGCGGAGAGACAATGTCTCCTTATACTCGAATGATTATTCGCATTCTATATTTGTTCTGCACTATACCCGTAGAATGCACGTGCGCATCTGTTAATAATTAACTGCACATAAAGGAGAATACCATCCCTTCATATTATTCATGTAAATCTACATTTTATATGCATTTAACCGGTACCCACCCAGTCCCCATGGTCATGTTAAAAGAAGTGGACTACACAGAAAAAGAACAAAACAAGGCAAAAGTAAGCACAAGCAGAACAGAGCAGAAAAAAAAAAAAGACGGTATGGAATAATGCAAACACGAAATATACTATGTATATCACATAATGAAGTAAAAGTGGTCTAATGGTAGCATGCGTTATTTCCCATTCATATGCCCCGTTATACTAATGTCACAGTTGCTCCAATAGGTCATCCACATGTAACTCCTTATCCTGCATACCCCTGACTTCATCCTAATTTCAGAGCGTTTCCAATAGGTCATCCACATATAACTCCTTCTCTTGCATACTACTCTCGAGCTCGCACTGTTCTATGACTAATGCCAGGATGAGTATCCATGTTTTAGCGGTTAACGGTTTGTTCATGTAAGATTGCTTATGCAGTTGCGTCCGTGGTGCATTTTTCATGCGTAACATGTGTTCTGTGCCCATTACATTTTCCACTTCTAAGTCTGTGTCAACTGCAGGTACTTCGCCGTTTTGCGATGCTGTCTCCTGCTCTACATTATTCAACAAATGTTGAAACCACTCCTTCTTATACATACTCATTTGCTGATGTTGGTGCGCTATCCACTGTCTCCACAAGTCCAATTTCTGCCTTTCCATGGTTGCGGCTGTCCTGTGCTCACTGGATGCTGCGTCTGTCGCATGTTGTTGATAATATTGTGTCCAATCCGCGGTTAATTGCAAAAACCACGGTTGCGTCGTGCACGCCTGCAATAGGTGCTTGTTGCGGTCAATCCAGTTAATCCATTCGGTGCAATGCGACGTCACGTGGTCGGGGTTGGAATGAGCACGACTCTGTGGTGCATCGAACTGTATGGATTCCATACAACTCCATGGATCGGGGTCATCTTCGTTAGGTGCACAAGGGTCCCGTTCTAACTGTATGGTTTCCATACAACGCCATCGATCGGGGTGCTCTTTGTTAGGTGGACATGGGTCCGTTGCTAACTGTGTGGTTTCCATGCAACTCCATGGATCGGGGTCGGGTTCATTCGGTGGACAAGGGTCCGTTGCTAACTGCATGTTTTCCATACAACTCCATGGATCAGGGTCATGTGCGTTAGATGCAGAAGGTTCCGTTGCTAACTGTATGTTTTCCATACAACTCCATGGATCGGGGTCGTGTTCATGCGGTGGACATGGATCCGTTCCTGCCGAGTCAGTGGAGGAAACAGTGTTCCCTGGTAAACCATGGTCTGAGGTAGAAACACCCACGATATTGTTATGCCTGTGGTCGTCCCGCATCAAATCCTGCGCAAACTGCTGTGCAAACTCCTCCACAAGTATCTTCAAATAGTCGTCTTTCACGTTTTCCCATTCGGTCACTTCACATTCGTTGAACACTTCTAGATGTAGCTCGATGATCGTGCGGCGATTCACGCGTGGTGGGCGTGGTCCGCGTCGTGCGGCGGGCAATCTGCCGGGCTGCCTATCCCTAATCATCGTGTACCCGTAATCGGGTGGCGGTAGGTCGCCGCGTTGTAGATGCTGCAATATGTCTTCGTCGAGTGGCGGTGACCGCACGTCACGAACGGTTCGAAACGTTCGTCGTCGTTTTGTTCCGAGGTACGCAAAATACTAAGCAGAAAAAGGGGGGTGAAGAGGAGGGTGAGGACGGTAGGATACAAGGAATGAACGCGGGTGTAGGGGCATATTGGTGCGAACCATCATATATTGGTGCCCGTAGGGATGTTCGAAGGTATAAACATCTTGCACATGCGGCATGCCCGGATTGCCGTGTATACTTACTTTCCAAAGGGAATAACCAAGAAGGGCGACGGTGAGGGCGGACAGGAAGAACAGTACGGGAGTAGTGGCGGTAAAGACGGCGTTCGTTAGGTCGGGTCCAGCGGGACCCCGGCCCCCCTGACCTAAATTTACAGTTGATGGGGGGGATGCTTTATGTTCTGGGTGCGGGGGTACCATTCCTCCTGCGACATTGTCTAATCCGGGTATAAGTCCTGGTGATAGTTTCAGATCACATGATCGCTCTTGTGTAGAGTTCTCTGAGCTAGTACAATGAACTTCATTTGGGCCAGAGGTAGAGGAACCAGTAGTAACAGAATTCCAGAGATCGTCGTCAATATCTAGCTTCCAGGTACATGGAGGGTTCAACGGTGCAGGGGGGTCATCGTTGCCGCCATCCACGACGGCGCTACCTTGACGGGTAGTGCCCGCTTCACCATGTTTACCTGCTGGACCAGAGGGACCCTGTGGTCCTACTGCTTCGGCAGTTTTTGCTACTGTCGTTTCCCCCGTTGTAGAATCTTTGTCATCTTGTGCACCTTCTTTTGTACTACTGTCAACATGCTTAGGACTTTGGCTTGGAGCCTCCGATTGCGTGTTCTTATCTCCCGGGTCAACTGCCGTTGTACTACCTAAACATTCGAAAAAAGAGGACGAATACACAAGAAAGTGAATTGTTGCGATGTGATGGCCCATGGTTGGCCATGCGCGGTCGCTTCATGGTTAGGCCACATGGTTCACCATCGACGCATGGTGCAACGGGGCAGGACATGGACGGAGGGTACGGTGCCACCCGGGGAAAAGACTCTCTCTCTGTCTCCCACACAGCACACAACACAACACACACACGCAGTGTGTGTGTCGGTCTGCGTCTACGTCGACGTCTCTACCTGTCTCTACCGGCCGCGGTTGTCTCGGTCTGCCGGTCATTCTCATTCGACGTTTGGTTTCTCTCGCTCTGCGTTGTCTCTCCCGCTCTCTGCGGAAAATGTGTTTTTTTTTTGGTTTTTGTTTTTTTTTCACTACTGTTATTAGTGCATATGTGTTGCGTGCACACTGCTAGATTCACCTGTCTCTGAACTTGGGTTAGGACTAATGGGTGCCTTTGCCCGCTCCTTCTCGTCCTGCTCCAGGAGTTTTGTGACTTCTGGTGTCATGCCTAATACCTCATCCGAGGTAGTCTCACAACTAATGGAGACACCTGCAGACGTGCCGGTGCTGGCGGGACATGTCGGCTTACCTGGGGACTTTGCATCCGAATCCGTAGCCTTCGTGTCTGTCGACGTCCCATGTGTCCCTACTCCGTGCTCGCCTCCCGCCGTGGCATCTGTCCTGCCGAGCTGTGATGAATCTGTTGATGATGACACTGTGGTCTGTCCCTCCTGCGTTTTGTCGTCCTGCTTTGGAAGTTTCGAGGAAGATGCGTCCTGCGTCTTCTTGTCCGTGTCCGTGTGGTCCTTGGTATCAGCATTCTTCACATCCTTGCCCTTGTTCTTGTCTGATGCTATAGGGTAGATGGAAGAAACATGATAGGAAGATGATAAAAAAAAAAAGGGACACCAGTGGTACAGAAAGAAGGGGCCGGAACGGTGCGGGCAGGTAGCGGCAGCAAGCGTACGGTGTTAGAGAGCGCGCACGTTGTTAGAAGAGGACAACGATAGGAAGAAAGGGGGGCGCACTCGGTGGACGGAGGTGATAGCAGTGCAACTTTTATTTGTCGCCGTCATCTTGTCCATTCTCCGTCGTCACCGCGACCGCTGCCGTCGTGGCCAGCGCTCATCGCAATCGGTCAGCGTCAACGAAGTGTTGTTGTGGCGCCGCGTGCATATTGTGGCCGTTGTATCGGCTTGCATATTAGCCAGTACAGATGCGGTCGTAGGTTCGTATGTGGCCGTGTTCTTACCACTCGGCTGCCTTACTATGCTTACCATCCGCATTCTTTACTTCTGGAACATCTTGCTGTTCTTTCTTCTTCGCGTCGTCAATTATCTTCTTTGCTACTTCCTTTATTTCGTCCGCTGCTTTCTGCACTTTCTCAATTATCTTGGTGACTTCTGCTGTCATCTTCTCCTGTGCTTCCTTTATCTTCTCCTTCCCTTGGTCGCTGACACTGTCTTTGATAGGCTGCCCTGGTGTTGCCACCGGCTTAATATAATCCTTCCAATACGTCTCACAGGGCATTGCCTTTTCCATTTGTGCTATTTCAGAACTTATTTTTCCTTCCTTCAGTAACCATTGTGCTATCGCCAAATTTATTGCATTTATATTCCTCTTATGTTCCCCGTACCCACATTCCGTGCATACCGAATTTATAACAGGACCCTCCATTTTTCCAGCTCCGTCTGTTCCCTCGCTCTTCATATTCCTGAATGTTTCCCAAGCATACTCTGTACCTCTCTTGTAGCCTCCCTTATCCTTACAATACATTTTTTTCAGTAAGTGCCCAAATACATTTGCCACCTCGCAGCGTAACCTGTTGACCGCTTCATCGGTGCCCCCTTTGTTTGCAAACCACAATGCTCCTGACATTAGCCTGCATCGCATCATATCCGCTACTCTTTGTTCCTTATATAGGTTACCATCACCGAAATCACTCCAACCTGCATTATTACAGTTGGCGCCGAATCCGTCAAAGTGCTGATTATGTTCCTCCAAGTACTCCATAAACTCCTCCAACACGTCCTTCACCTTGTTCCATTGCTCATCCTACATTTTGTACGCGAACAAGGAGAACATTACCCATCTGCCCACTCCACGAACACGCTGCGCGCCTGAGTTCATGCACGCCCTGACATATATGCATGTAACTGTATAAATAAAATGGTCGTTCCTCTTCTATTTGCCCTATGCATGTTTCTGCGCATTTCGCCACACCTGCTGTTTGAACTTACATCATCAGGGAGCACCACGTATATTTCCCGAGGCTTCCAGTCCAATATTTTCGTCCCCAGACATTGCTCCCAGGCGTTCTGCCCCTTCCCCGTACCTCCGACATCACCCTTACCAGCCTGACCACCACCACCACCAGATGTCGTCGTCGTCCCCGATCCCGGTGTCACCGTTGCCGGTGTCACCGCGGGTCCCGGTTTCGCCGCTACTGGTTTGGCCGGGGCGGGCGCGACCGGTGAAGCAGGTTTGGCCGAAGATCCCCCGGGTGATCCCGATTTCCCCGCTCCCCCTGTTCCCGGATCGGTCGTCGTTGCTCGGAATTCTGGAGTGTCTCGGGGCGAAGCCCCGGTCTTCTCTCGCTTTTCTTTCTCCATTTCCTGCTGTATTACTCCTTTCACACATTTTATATCGGTGCATGCTTTCACTGCATTTAATATTTTCGTTATATTCTCTTTCATATTCTGCCCAACCTGCTGCATTTCATCTTCCACTGTCTTTTTGAACTTATCCAGTTCTTTCTGCTTGTCCGCTTCCGCCTGTCCGCTTATGTTTACCTTACACTCCCTCCCCAATACTCCCACGTCCCCATCCCTTAACCGCGTTTTATGGCGCTGAAACCACCTTTCCATTATATACAGCAATGTCCAATCTTCCGCCCTCTTGCTCCTGTCACCCGACTGTAAATCCTTGCCCTCACATGTAGAATTACGTTCCGCTGTGCCCGTCGTACCCACGAATGCCTGTGCAGCGTCGAATGCTCGTGTGCCGCCAGGTTGCTGTAGACAAGTCTGGCCTATTATTCTCTTCATGAATATATTTGTCAGTATACATTTCATATATGGCATTATGCCATCTGCCCCAGTGTTCACAGTCTCGGGGTTCTCACCGGACGC